TCTAAAAGCACCCATTCTTTCATCCAAACCAAACAGCCTGCTGCAAAATATCAATTTCAAATTAGGTAAACCCTATCTTCCTCTTTCCTTTTCATCTTGTAGCATATTTGCCTCATATTTTTCCCCTGCCACACAAATTTAGATAATTTCTGCCATTGTTTAAATGGCAGATCAGTTGTCAAAGCAGAAATGTAACATTCTAGACGAATATACTGCAGCCATGAGAATAAAATTGTATGTTCAGATTAGGTCCCCTCGGGTCAGGAATCAAGTAACAGTAACAGAGTTTAAAGGGACCTTGGAGGTCATCTAGTCCAAACCCCTGCTCACGCAGGAGACCTGTGCTAGGGATTCAAACCGCCAAACTGCCCACCTTTCTGATTGACAAACTCAATGTCTTAACCACTGAGCCATCTAGTCAGGCTATCAGATCTAACCAGATCAAGAACTCAGAGACAGGAGAGATTTCAGGTAGCTTTTACAGAGATCTGACATCCTGCAGTATCTAAGCCATCTACACTATTTAACCTGAAGTCTCTTATCTGATTATGGAGGAGAGGTTTGGTCCCATTTTCCTTCACCAGTATTGCATTACAAACCCCTCTTGCCATGAAAGGAAATGTTTCCATGAGCTTAGTTCTCAGATACTTGCTTATTGATTCTCTGAAATGAAATGCTTTATCTCCTTTCTCTGTTTTCCAAAAAAAAAAAAAAAAGATGCTGGGTTTTTGTTCCCCTCACAGCTATTAAAGGAAAATAAATCCCATGTTTCTGGAACAGCTTCTTTTCATTTGTTCATGCAACATGTATAACCGAACCTTCAAACCTGAATCTTGAAGGACAGTTCTGTAATGTTTATTTTGGGCAATGTTCTGCGGCTAGTGTTGGAATTTGTTAATTACCTTTGGAGGGCTGGATCCTATAGATGTACAAATACATCATTAGAAATACATGCTGATGATATAAAATGTCACTGAGTATGAAAATATTCTAGGATTCTTTGTGGAAAAAACTTCAGGGAATTACCAAGTACTTTAGTTATTAATTGTGGATTCTGTGTGCAGTATAAATTGAGCTATTTTCTCATAAAGAAACTTGAGAAGCTTTCGATGAAGAATCACATCTTCTAAAAAATCTCTCACATACATTTCCCAAAACTACACAAGTAGTCCTCGACCAGTTGTTTAATTATCAAAGTTCCAATGCACCTACCTGGGGGAAACTTGCAACCTGAATTTAAAGTTGTGATTGTTGCCCCTTCATAGTCATGTGACTTTGGGCACTCTGCAACTTTATGTCCATTTATTTTATTTATTTATTTTTTATTTTTATTAAATTTGTATACCGCCCTTCTCCTGCTGGACTCAGGGCGGTGCACAGCCAAAACTAAAAAACATTCCAATACAAAATTTAAAATTTTTAAAAGAATTACACAACTTTGGCCCAAAATTTAAAACATCCCAACTAAAACCCATAGACAATTAAAAATCTAACATCTCAAAAGGGGGGGTTTGTTTACGCCAGCCCTGTTTGGTGGAAAAGAAAAGTTTTTAGGGCACGGTGAAAAGCCTGGAGATCTGGTATCATGCGCATCTCGGGGGCAAATCGTTCCAGAGGGCAGGTGCTGGCACAGAGAAGGCCCTCCCCCTGGGGGTTGCCAGCCGACACTGCCTGGCTGACGGCACCCTGAGGAGTCCCTCTCTGTGGGAGCGTACTGACTGGTGGGAGGCTATCGGCGGCAGAAGGCGGTCCCACAAATACCCAGGTCCTATGCCATGGAGAGTTTTAAAGGTGGTAACCATCACCTTGAAGTGCACCCAGAAGACCACCGGAAGCCAATGCAGCTCACGCAGGAGAAGCGTCACCTGGGAGCGCCCCCTCGCTCCCATAATCCCCCACGCGGCCGCATTCTGCACCAGTTGGAGCCTCCCAGTGCTCCTCAAGTCCCTTTTAGTTGGGAGCCCCATGTAGCCCCATGTAGAGAGCATTGCAGTAGTCCAGGTGGGAAGTGACGAGTGCCTGAGTGACTGTGTGTAAGGAGTCCCGATCCAGAAAGGGATGCAACTGGCAAATCAGGTGAACCTGATGAAAAGCCCCCTTGGCCACGGCCGTCATATGCTCTTCTAAAGACAGCCATGCATCGAGGAGGACGCCCAAGTTGCGAGCCCTCTCCATGGGGGCCAATAACTCGCCCCCAATAGCCAGCGATGGCACCAGCTGGCTATATCAGGACGCCGGAAGCCACAGCCACTCGGTCTTGGAAGGGTTGAGTCGAAGCCTATTACTCCCCATCCAGATCCGCACGGCCTCCAGGCACCGGGACATTACTTCAAGGGCATCGTTGGGGTGGCCTGGGGTGGAGATGTACAGCTGAGTATCGTCAGCGTACTGATGGAACTCCACCCCAAAGCCACGGATGATCTCGCCCAGTGGGTTCACATAAATGTTGAACAGAAGGGGCGAGAGGACCGACCCCTGCAGCACCCCACAAACAAGCACCCCACAAACAAGGCGCCTCGGGGTCAACCTCTGCCCCCCTGCCAACACCGACTGCATCCGGTTGGAGAGATAGGAGGTGAACCACCGCAGAACGGTGCCCCCCACTCCCAACCCCTCCAACCGGCGCAGCATGATACCATGGTCGATGGTATCAAAAGCCGCTGAGAGATCTAACAGAACCAGGATAGAGGAACAATCCCTATCAACCCCTATTTGCACCATCCTCTGGTCATGTGATCAGATTTTACAATGTTTTTGCTGAAAAATGGCCTTTACCGTCATTATTTAATGACCTCAGTGATCAACTTAACAACCACCACAGAAAGGCCGTAAATCAGATCAATCATGTGAATGACCTGTTTTACAACTGTGATGAGTTATGACCACAATAAGCAAACTCCACTATGGTCATAACTTGAGGATTATTTGTAAAGAATGAATATGACACTATCTATAACACAAATCTATAGCATGCACTTGTGCAGAAGCAGAAGAGTCAAAATAATAGCCTCTGAAATAGGGGTGTCAAACTCGATTTCATTGAGGGCTGCATCACAGTTGTTTGAATTTGGGGAACTGGGGTGGGCATGGCCAGGGTGGGCATGGCTATCTCGGTGTTACTTGTGTCGGGGGCACTTGTGGTAGCCCGAGCGCTCTGCCAGCAAAAATGAGCTCCTGAGCTCCATTTTGGGCTGAGATGGCTTCCTGCAACCCGCTGCCAGTGAAAACGGAGCAGAGGCACCGCGGGCCAGTCCTTTGTTGTTTCTAAGGCAGGGCCTTGAGTTTGACTCCCCTGTTCTAAAAGATCTTTCTTGGCTGTTCTGCCAAATTTAGAAATTCCATTCAGTGATCATGACTGACTGAGTGATCTGCTCTTCATTATTTTGTTTCATTCTTCTTTGAAGACATGTGTGTTCAATGAGTCTCCAATTCATCTTGGGACAGGAAATTCTACCGTATAATTTGTTCATCTGTCCTGAATCTCATCCACCCATTCCAAAAGGATCCATAATATCATCACAACATACAATATGTCCAAATGTCATGCCTACAATTTCTGAGGAGAGGGTTTTTTGGGGGGGGGGTTGAGCCAGTGACAGGAACTATGATTTGCATGATTTATAACCAAACCATGATAAATAGGTACACTTCTGTGGGAAAGTTATTGAGTTCCATATTTTCATGCTGACCACATGATGATGGAAGCGTCTCTCAGGCAGCACAGGCTCCCTTGGCTGAGAATTGGAGATGAGCACCATTCCTTTGAGTCGGTCATGACTGGACAGGGGAAATCCAATGCAGGTCTAAGTTTTAGCATCTCTGCTTTAAGGACCTCCTGGAGAAAATGTCCATAGGGAAAGAGGTTAGAGGGTTAACAAACAACATTGGGTTTGAGGTACACCTACCAGCCCAGAATAATATAAGGCAGTTCCATAGGCCTGATCTGCTCCTTTCTGACATCAGATAGATAGTTTTCAACATTAGCCAAGTCACAACTGAATAAAATGTATTTTCAGATATTCTGTTTGGGCTGCTATTCATGGCCACATCAATAAGAATTCCTCCAATCTGAGTTAGGAGTAAAATATGCTCGCCTGACCTTTAAGGCCAGCAATTTGTAGATTACTCTGGCTTTGGATCTTACCCAAGCAGTGTAACCAGCTGGCAAAAGAATACATTGAACAGAATCTTTAGCTACAGTGTGTTTCAGGTTGCAGGAGGGACAGTTCACTGGATTGGAGATGCTTTGTACTAGTAACCTGTCACTTGGGATATTTCTGAACATGAGTATATCGGCCTTCTGAAAGACTGGTAGATCAGGTGTGGAGGAAGGGTGGGATGAAGGAACAGGGAGCCTGTGAAGTGCCTTGTTGCTTTGTCTTGCACTATTCACCTCACCAACTAGTCAGCTAGGTTTGTTTGGGGGGTTTTTTTGGAAGAGTTTTTTCACTCATTCAGAAGAGTGATAGTCTGGTGGTCAGGTTTACTAATTATTTGGTCACCTGCCAAATAAGGAAGAGAAACTAACACATTTTTAAACAACTTCATCTCAGTTCTGAATACTTCAAATCAATATATGTTGCATGGCATGGCAGCAAATGGCCATATCTGGAAGCACCCCAAAAATATCTGATAGCATACGCACAATGATGTGAAATTAGTCAAAATGTATTGATCCTTTCTCAAAGCAGTAAAGGGGAGCAGCAGAAAATACCTCTGTTTCCCAATTAAAATTGACTAGCCTTCTCTTCCTTCTCCTTTTTATGCATCTAAAAGGTCTAAAAGTCTTTTAAAAGACTGTTGAACATGTCCTTAGAAAAGGTTATAGTCACCTTCAGAAGACCAAATCAGACATTCATATAAGAAGCCCTCGAAATGCTTAAATGAATCTCTGATAAGGAGGGGAATTAATTTTCATAATGTGGTTTCCTTGTTCTATAATGTAAAGGAGATTACTAGAGATTTTTTCTCCTTTTTGGAAAATAGCTCAATCTCACAAATGGTGAACAAAAGCAATTTTTTTTTAAAAAAAGGTATATTATAATTCTTTTTAACTTTAAATACTCAAATACATCGATGTTGAAGCAGATACAGTATTTTTTTTAAAAAAAGACAAATACTCCTCCAAATAGACAAGCTGTGCTGATCTACCACAAATAGCATTTCTCCTTCCATTATTATTATTACTAAAAAGAACTTAGAGAACAAGATACAGATATTCTAGAATATGCCTGATTCCAGGCTATGATAAAACACAATTATTTTTGTACAGAAATCTACAGAAATCTATTGCATAATAAGCAAGGCATATTGCATAAGCAGGCAAAGCAAAAGAAATTAGAATTTAATGCAGCTTTTGCCAAATATATTTACATATTTCTTTATCTCCTTGATAAGTTGTAAAAGAATCCCAAGAAAAAGTCCTCTGTTGCAGCCTCTTGTGATAATTCTAGCTACTTATCAAAGCTGTTGGAGTGATAGTACATCCCACTTCTTTTCCTAGCTCAAGGACAATAACTTCTTGCTCTGTTTTCCGGAATTCACTTTCTTCTTTTAAAAGAACAAAGGTTTTTTTTTCTTCTATAAGAAGCAGAGGAGGGGGGATAGAATCTCCCAAAGAATCTGTGCTGAAGCCTATGCTTGAGAAGGGTGTGTTGTCATACTCAGAGGCTGCCTGGCATTTAGACTGGCAGGGGGAATTCAATACTGTGATGTAGGCTGACTATTGACTACAATGGCATACACTGTTTTCTTTTCTATAGATCTAAGGCAATAATAAATATGAATGGAGATAGGTGATAGAAGATAGATAGATAGATGATAGATAGATAGATAGATAGATAGATAGATAGATAGATAGATAGATCGATATGATAAATTGATGGATGGATGGGTGGATGGATGGATGGATGGATGGGTGGATGGATGGATAGATGATAGATAGATAGATAGATAGATAGATAGATAGATAGATAATAGAGATAGATAATAGAGATAGAATAGATGATAGGAGAATTACAAATGGAAGAGGAGAATAATGTCAGAATACCATCTCTAAAAGGCTGTCTTATACATGACCTATATAATTTCTTTATCAAAAAAATCATCAAAAAGGGTAATCCTTTCTGTCTTAGTCCTCACTAAAGCAGGCCTCCGATAAGGTTTCTTAAAGTTGTCATTGCAATCGCTCCAGTTATTGGTGTCAGTGCTGGAAGCATCTGAAGACGACTCTGTTGTTGCTTGTTGCTTCAACAGCCATGTCTCCACTTTGTGCCTCTGGTCCAGATGGGATTTAGGTGACCCAGATTCTTTAAGAAATTCTCTGTGCCACAAATCTCCTAACAAAACAAGCAAAGGAGACTTCAGTATTATACAAACACACAGGAAGAACTGTGATGCATTAGCAACCTTGGATCAGTGCCATTTGGTCCAGCTTAGTCCCAACCTAGCACTTCAGAAACCATAATCCATTGATAGCATTGGCCATACTGGCCACAGATTATGAGAGTTGGGGACCAAATTCTCTGAAGGAGAACAGGTTGGCCCCACAGCATTCCTGCAAATAAAATGCTAGAGGTTGGCGCTTTGGCTTGGGTTACTTCAGCCTAATTTTTTATTCTAAAATATTTTAACAGATCAGGCATCAGGAATCCTAGTAGACATATAAGAGCTCCACGCTTGAAGTCTGTAATCACATTGCCCACCTCCGATATACTGCACTTGTATAAAATGAACTTTAGCTTTCTCCCAATCTTCAAAGACAAAAGGGCACGCTTTTCCATCAGTGTATGAGAGGCTGTTTTAGTCTTTTGTGGTAAAAATAACCAAGATTAACTTGTTAGCCTTTGAAGCATCACAAAACCCATCTCTATCTCCTTTTATGAAATGAGCATAATAAAAGAAAAGGCAGATTCTGTCAGAGTTTGCAGCAATCCAACCAGCACACAAGTAAATAATTCAGCAGGATTCATTTATATAAGAAACTTCTCAGTGAACCTAAGCCACACCCAGGCTCTGAGCTGTCTGGGTCACCAAACACTCCCCATTGGCTGACCTGTTACTGTGTCTATTCCAATTCATGAACTCTTGTATACTGACAGTTTCGTATTTCCACTTAGGACTCATTTCCACCAAGGAAGAGCTAATGGGGAAAAAATTCTACAATCAAGTGTTAACCCCAAGGCATCACTCTAAAAATGATTAATGTACAGTTAGTGGGAGAAACTACTCTGGAATACATGCCTATGGCCATTCTTTAGGTATTTTTTGACCTAGTATTCTATACCAACACTTTGTCACAGGTAGAAATTAATTCTGTGTTATTCCAATTCAGAAATCGATTGTGGCACCTGGAATGGAGTCTCTCCATTCCTAGAATTTCTAAAAGCTTATGGCATGGTACAAATTTTACAGCATCCCTGATTCTGTACCATACAAGTGGCTAAGGACTTTATGTCAAATCAAGTATTTTTAGTACAGATGCGTACAGTAAAAAAAGAGAAATGGTTCGATGCAACAATTTGCTATTGGGAAAGTGGAAAAAACAATAGGACAATAAAATGATGTATCTAATTAAAAGTTTTGCATAGTTGTGTCACTTGGTGGGAGGATTTGGCCACTTGATGTGCAAGTGTGGGATAAGCATCCCTTAAAAAGCAATAAACACAAAATTTATCAATGTGGCCCTCATACTTTATGTCATCTCTACCATACTGGAAGTCAATCAGCATGCAATCTGTAAACCCAGTACAAAATAGAAACAATGCGTCTATGACTGTATCCTTGGAATAATTTCATCCCAGTTGGAATCTGTATTACCTGTTCTAATTCTAGTTATAGGGGAGCTCACGGGCATCTCTTGTTCTGACATCCTCCTGCATCATTTAGTGAGCCACTTTGATTACTAGACTCAATATCCTTGTTTCAGTCATAGTTGAATGATTAATATTTAAGTATATTGGTAGGGGATGTGGCGGCTCAGTGGCTAAGATGCTGAGCTTGTCGCTCGAAAGATTGGCAGTTCAACGGGTCAAATCCAGTGGTGGGTTGCTCCTGGTTCTATCCAGTTCTTCTAAACCTGTAGTAAAATCAGCAGGAGGCTCCACCCACGTGCCCGGATGTCATAATGGATGATCTGTGCACACACTCCCATTGCAAACCGGTAGTAAAGGTAAGTAGAACCCACCGCTGGTCAAATCCCTAGTGCCGCATAACGGGATGAGCTCCCGTTACTTGTCCCAGCTTCTGCCAACCTAGCAGTTCAAAAGCATGTAAAAAATGCAAGTAGAAAAATAGGGACCACCTTTGGTGGGAAAGTAACAGCATTCCGTGCGCCTTTGGCATTTAGTCATGCCGGCCACATGATCATGGAGACATCTTTGGACAGCGCTGGCTTTTTGACTTTGAAATGGAGAAGAGCACCACCCCTTAGAGTCAGGAATGACTAGAACATTTGTGCAAAGGGAACCTTTACTTTTACCTATATTGGTCTACATCTATTGGCAGGTGGTGCAAGAAGACAGCAATAGCACTTATACTTATATACTGCTTCACAATGCTTTCCGGCCCTCTCTAAGCGGTTTACAGAGTCATCATATTGCCCCCCCAATAATCCAGGTCCTCATTTTACCAACCTCAGAAGGATGGAAGGTTAAATTAACCCTGAGCCCATCAGGATCGAATTCCTAGCAGTATAGGCAGAGTTAGCCTGAACTACTGCATTCTAACCATTGCAGCAATATGTTGACGGGTTTACAAAGAGTTCTAAGAAGGAAACTATGAAACAAAGATGGTGCCAATGTAGAGATTAAAAGGTTAGGAATCACCTTAACTCTGTAGCAGCATCAATGATGTTGACTTAAAAATGGATTGCTTTGATGATACTTACCATGGCTTCCATTAAATGTTTGTTCATGCTCAGTAGAGTGTCGGTCTTCATCATCAGAGCTTTGAGTTCCCTGCATATGCTCAAGAGTACCCAGCACATGAAGATCTCTCATTTTTGGCTTATTAAGTCTAGCCTCTTGTTGCAGACGCCTTTTTAGTTCTGCCTGAATTGATAAATAATTCCTTATAAGTTACAGATACACAACAGTCTCAGAATCGCTTGAGAGATATTCTTTTTTCTGAAAGAAACTGGAGTTGTTTTCAAAAATGCCAGCAGAATTTTAATCATCTTAAAAAAAAACCCAACCTCTAGACTTCTGAGAATTCTTGGTGGAAAATCATGGCCAGGAGTTTATTTGTTTTTTTAAAAAAATGAAAGAGGTTTGCATTGTTGTTATACTCTTAAAAGTACAGTCTATTCTTATTTTATCTTAAAAATAAGAACAAAGTTCTAAAGTGCTATTCCTAAAAAAACAAGTTAATTGAGAAATAAAGTTTTAATAAATATGTACATATAATTGATGTACAAATGAATAAGTTTCACATGATTAGTGTAGTAACGTATGTTTAATATGCTTCCAGCTCGATGATTAAACAGATCAAACAACTACTGCTATACAAATGCCAATAATACAAATTTCTACAAAACACATGCCATTAAATTGCTATTCAGTGCATAAAACAGAGACTCCCTCAATTTATTCCATCATCCACTTTTCTCCTTAAATATTCCAATTGTATTGCACCAGTAGTAAAGTATCCCAGGTTTACCTCTTTTCTTATTTCAAGCATCTTCATCTGGAGTAAATACTGCCTTCTTCCAGCAGGATGCCCAGCAACATGCTCTCCTCTCCCAAGTTCCTAAGCAGAGGATTCAAAGACATAACAAAAAACCTTTTATGAAACAAAGCCAAGATTGCTTTGAACATCACTGCATTGTCCAGTTTCTATAATAGGGAGGTCACGGCTGCCCAAATCCAGATGACCACGAGATGGCAGAAAACTAGTTGTCAGGATTCCAAGTAACACCCCCAACGAAAGAAGGCTTCGAGGCTTGAAGTTCCTCAAAATTCCATTTCATTAGAGATGTCATATTGGCACATCTGGGAAAACCCGAATCTGAAAGCTCCCAGGTTTTCCCCACCCAAAAGAAAGTCCAAGTCCCTTCCCTTGCACCCACATGTCCATCACATGGTTCAATCAATACACTATCCCAACTGGAGATGCCTCCCATTTTCAGCCCTCCAGGTGCAGGGCAAGATGTCCTTGACTCTCTGAGAAAGGAATGTTATTATGACTATATATCACCCTGGCTCCATACAATCCCCCCTCCCAGTTTCCCACAGTAATAAATGTGGCAGGCCTGAAGGCCCAATGCAAAAGATGGTTTCCAGCCCTGACACTAATATTCTCTGGATTTTGGTAGCCAAAGGCCAGTGACACTGAAACAGTCTTCACCAGTCTTCTTTTAAACTATTTAAAATCACAGATTCTTTACCCACAGATGTAACCATAGAACTTTTTGAAAAGATATAGAGACGATGTTACATCAATATGAAGGGTCTGAATCAATCCGAAAGTCATCTAAAGGCAAGGTCAAGAAAGTCAGCATGGCAATGATGATTACACAACTGTCCATCCTCATGTGCATTGTATGTACAGTAGGCATAAAAATGAACAGGACTTGAACTCTGCCTATGTAGCCACCATCTTGACAGGTTTTTTTAATTTCCACCTATAGATATCCTATTCCTACAATGGAACATAGGAAGTGAACAAAAGGCAGTCAAATCAAACATTTGGCTAGTCTAGATTGCCTTCTTCCATCTACATGGCTGATGCTTCTGTATTTTTAATGGCTGGTATTTAATGGACAGTAAATTGGAGATAAGCACTCCAATCAATTTCTTGATAAGTAGTTCAAGACTTTCTGTAAGGTGACTCTCCCTAACTGAATTGACAGAGAATTCCCATCATCCCTGAGCATTTGCCACAAGGTGATCAGATAGAAATAGTAAGCTTAGATACCTGAAGGGCCCAAATTGGAATAAGTTACTTTAGATACAAATTAACTTGACAGATTGATTGCAAACTAACAAAATGGAAATACTTGCGCAGTTATGTTGTTTACAAATTGGAAGACTGGAATACCTGCTCATCCGGATGTTGTTAGGTTGGCGGCAATATGCTGTGTTTGCAAGGCAGTTGCAGTTCATGTGACAGCCCTGACGGCTAATTGGGACACTAACTCCATTATTCATCAGGAGAGGCCACCAGTAGCAACTGATTGCAATTTTTAAGAGTCACCCAACTACTGTATAAAAATAACTGTACTAAGGATAGGATTTATGTTACTTCAGCAATAGCTGGGTGACACCATAGGTCACTCACACACAAATGGCTTGTGTATCAAGCATGAATGTCTAAAATATGCAAGTAACAGAACTAACATATTGGGTTTTGCAAATAAAAATGTAACTATATTTATCCCTGCTACCTACTTGGAATCACAAAACAGTGTTCTTTGTATGGTGGAGGAAGAGGCAGAAGAAGGAGCAGAAGGAAGAGGAGGCATGCCCAACATTTTTAGAAGGGTGTTGAATTTTAACTCCAAATTCATCTTTCTTTATTTCATAAATCAATTCTTGTAATCCCCCCACCCCCGTTTTCTTTGAATATTTACCTTTTCCTTCAGCGTCACTGTCCCTCCTTGCAGATTCGGGTATTTGGCTGCAGGGATGCTGTCTGCAAGAATAAATGGCTCCAATTTCTGCAAAGCCAAGAAAAGAGTAAAACTGTGGAATCAGTGGTGGGTTTCAAATTTTTTTACTACCGGTTCTGTGGGTGTGGCATTTATTTATAGCACATTTATAAATATCCCACATTATTCAATGGAATTTTTCCCAGTGGAGAAACTTCTGCCTTTTGCATTTGTAAAGAATGGTTACTAATCAAGGTATAGTCACTAGGTGGCAGCCAGTAACACTACAAAGCTAAAGGTTTCCTTAAATGTTGCAAATGCTGTTGAGGTGCAAAAGAGAGGAGGCAGACAGGTCACAGTCATTCTAGTTGATAAACATCATCATGCATGATTGAAAATACAAAAGTGTAAGAATAATTGTTCAATTAAAATTAAAACAAAATGCTAAAATTATGTAAGATTTCATACAAGGAACACACAGTTTTTGGTCCACCTGAACAGATCCTATATTACCTAGGTCAATGTTTCTCAACCTTGTCAACTTTAAGATGTGTGGACTTCAATTCCCAGAATGCTCTAGCATTGCTAATTGGGGAATTCTGGGAATTGAAGTCCACACATCTTAAAGTTGACAAGGTTGAGAAATACTAACCGGTAGATCCTATCCAAGTTTCCATTATGATACCAGTATCTGATAGAGAATGACAGAGGCAAAAAAAAATTAAAATAAACTAAGGCATTCATAAACTTGCTTAATATTTTGGGCAACCACCACAATATTTGTCAGATTTCAGAATTTAAATAACTCAAGGACCCTCTTGAGTGCTTCAAATTGTTTTATGATTTTGAAAGAAAGTATAGAAGTGGGCTAAAAATAGCATTTAAAGAACTCCTCAAACCTTCAGTGATATTTCTCGTTCCATGCTGTACTATAATAAGATGACCAGGTCTTCTGCTTGAAGTTTAAATATTGTTAGTGGTCCAAGCCCATTTTATAGCTTACTTGAAAGAATTGTTGGTTCATTTATTTAGGTTTTGTTTTTTCCCCTTTTGTAACTTATGCGGGACTTATCTGGGAGGAAGAAGTGGAGCCCTATAGACAAGTGAAATTAATAAAATACAAGGTCAGTGAATCCTCTGGGTGAAGACTTGGCAATAAAAATTACAGACCTGGATAGAATATAATCACCCTTAAGGATGTAACACAAATCTCATCAGAGATGAGACAACTTCTCCATTGAGACGACATCTTTCATTGGTGCATTTGAGGAAGTTATGTTTCCTCTCCTTTTTGCCTAATTGGCTAGTTTTCATTCAGAACCTTAGCACTTTGCCCAAAAGTTGGAATGGGAGGTTCCTCATGAAACACCTTTTGCAGTTTCTTTTAATCTTACTCATTGCTGAAGCATTCTAACTCTGCAAAACTAGGCCACATGAAAAGAATCAACAAGCTAGCAAGATGCATCCAGCAGGATCTCATAAAGTATTCTCAACAGGAAGAGGGTGCTGGAGGGGATTGAGGAGAGTGAAGAAGGAGACAGACCTTCAAAGAGATTTTAGCAAATTGAAGAACACTAACAAGAATTCCTTGGGGAGTGGATTTTTCTCATTGGAATTTGCTGATGTGGCTTGAAGAGACAAGATGTCAGCAATTTAAATTCAGCTTCAGTGTGAAAGAGAAGGAACTAGGGATCAAGAGGCATCTTACCTGAAGTCTTCGAGGTGGATGCTGCTTGATGATGCTTCCTCCTCCTTCTCCTCCTCCTCCTCCTCCTCCTTGTGTGGGGTCTAACAGATTTGGCCTGGGCACTTGAAGGAAAGGAAGCATTTTAAAAATCTGAGCTGATTACGCAAAATTGGTGAATTGCTATTTCTTTGTCATGGAAGACTGATTATTTGATATTTTTTAAATAAAGAATGGGGTACCCAACTCATTTTTATTCTTGCCTTTAGATTTTATTCATAGAAACAAAGAATGGTCGATACATATAACAAGTGTTTCTCAATCTTGTCGACTTTAAGACGTGTGGACTTCAATTCCCAGAATTCTCCAGCCAGCAATGCTGAGGAATTCTGGGAGTTGAAGTCCACACATCTTAGAGATGACAAGGTTGAGATACACTGCGTATAAGATATCCTTTCTTATCAGTCCAAATCTATTTACTCAAGGAAGGGCTCTTTTTGTGAATATGCAAAGCAGAGTGTCAGGGTTCCAAGTAACACCCCCAATGAAACAAGACTCCAAGCCCTGGGACTCCTCAAAGTTCCATTTTACCAGATGTGCCAATATGACATCTCTAATAAAATCTTTCTTTTGTTGGGGATGTTACTTGGAACCCTGACACAGAAGTTCATGACAGACACTGTCCAGGACACTCACAAAACTGACACTTCAGCAGGATTAGTGTGAGAAAACGGCTGCAAAAGAATTACAAACTGCCTTTTGCAGGAAATCACTTTTCCATTATAAACAACAGAATCCATTTTTTAAATCTCTTTCATCAAACCCAGATGTTTATGCAAGTGCTTGTGGTATAATAAAACAATACAGGATCTGTTGCTAAATGACCGGAATGCATTAGTATTCTCTGCAGTCTTTCAACTTGTGAGAAGTGACTCCACTTAAAGTAGAAGTACATTTCCTTTCATCTTTAAAAGAGAATAATCTGCTGCTAGATTATCCAGGAGAGGAGGAGGAAATATCCAGACAGAATCACATTATCATTATTATCTTTGGGAAAACAGATTATCTTTTCATGGTATAGGTACAAAATATGAAATAAGTACAAGAAACAAAAACAAAGCATGACAAACTACCAACAATGGTGCATTGGCATATCTACAAGAAATATCACTTGTCTGCAAGCCAGAACTGGTGGAACCATAAAAAAGACAAAGTAATAGAAATTTAAAAAGCTAATGTGCTCTGAGACTTTAAAATTCAAACAGACAAGTATCTTGCCATACAACATCCCAGAATTAACAACTGTCGATAAGAAAAAAGAAAGAAAAAGTCTTGGTAGTGGACATGGCAGTACCTGGAGACAGCAGAAGAGAAGAGAAAGAACTGGAGAAGATAACAGAATACAAAGACCTGGAAACAGAAGTAGAATGATCATGGCAAAAGACAGCAAAGGTAGTACAGATAGTAACTGGCGCTTTGTGTACAATGCCAAAACATCTGGAGCACCATTTGAACATCATCAGCATTGACAAAATTACCATCAATCAATGGCCAAAGGCAGATTTGCCTGGAATAGTTTACATCTGGCAATGATATTTTCAAAATTATTGAATTATTATTAAAATTGTTAATAATAAACGTTCAAGAAATATAAGGCAGCTGGTAGCTCTGTCAGATTCCTTGAATGCTATCTAGCTTAGAAAGGCAAATTAGAAATCACATCTTATTAATCAATCAATCAACCAACCAATCAAGATTTGGTCTGCAGTCTGATTCACAAGCTAGCTGGGCCAGAACCAAAAGCCAACTGGTGCCACCTTTTGTTTCCATAACAGTCAAGCAGAAGGTAAATCCACAAAGAAAGCTTAAAATAGCCCAATTCCTTGCTTTTTAAATTTCTCCTCTTAAGAATTGGTCTTCCTCCTTGAGAAGGGAAGTTCTAACACTCAACTTCTCATTAAACTCTGAACCATGTGAATATTTACTCATCACTTGGTTTCAAGAGACTTTTAAGACCTTATTCCAGAGTAGTGATAGATGATGTGACAATGCATCTACAAAAATCTTCTTTCAGACTCAAGACAGACTTCCTGACCCGTTTAATCTTTTTTGCTGGCTGGGGAATTCTGGGAAGTGAAGTCTGCGTTGCCAAGTTCAAAAAACACTGGTTTAAATCAATTCATGTTGTGTTTCTAATTGGTCTCTTGATTCTTTTCCTAAAAACTGTATTTCGAAGGTCTGAATTTGTCTTGCTGTGTAATATGTCTGTCTAAAGGACCCATTCCCTCTTGAATTTAATCAAACTTCTGTTATGAATATCTACTGTAAGTTTTGCCATTATTACATATTCTCTCATTTTGGTTTCAATAATTTTTAGGACGTACTGCCTACCAGTTAACTTTTTAAGTTTTTCCACTGCAGCTATTTGTTTTTCAACAATTAGGTATTAACAGCAATATCATTCACTATGGAAAACTATAATATATAGTAGTGATGACAGAATTCAGCTCCAAAGATTATCTTTAAAGTTGTTATGGTATATTATTAATAATGAAAATTTAATTGTAGATTTAATTGAAATAAAATTATTACATTTGAGTAATTTTTTATGTGTGAGTTTCATAAAGGGGAAACACACTAAATTATATAAAACAAAAAAAGAAAATGACCTCTCCTCGTGTTTGTTAAAATAAGACTATGTTTAAAAGGGCATATGTCAAAGATCAGGCAAAATCTGACAGTCAGATAAACTGGTGTTAAGAATAGAAGGTAAAATTATTTAGCTTGTATTTGTATGCAAATTACTTCCCAAATAATTTTTCAAGAATTTTATCATATACAACCATAGAAACGGGCATAGAAATGGAATATATTAGGGGAAAGTAAAGATTGAACAAATGTACATGTTCCTATGTTTACTATTTATTTACAAACATTATTATACTGTCTATTCTCATGATTCAAGGTTGCATATAAATCTCCATGCATGTGTGGCAGTCTGGGAATAGTGAGACAGATGTGGGCAGTAGAAGAATGAGGCAAAGTGGAAAGCTAGACAGAAAGCATCTCATGTGCATGTCCCTTTCTCTGGCCACTGGAAGTGGGTGGCACATCAGCAGCCTAGGAGAGAAAAGTTATGTCTATGCACTAGTTCTGCAGAAAGTATCTAGAGTGCATCAAATTGATCACTGCATGGAGGAGAAGAAAAGCACAACTGATTTGCAGTCAGCTTTTCTCAACTTTTTAGAGACAGAGATTTCAGCGCCCAAAATTTCTTTGCAAGTGTGAATTCTAGGAATCAAATGAAGTGTTTCTCAACTTCAAATTGCAGAGAACTCTGGGAGTTGAAGTCCACCCTGTCAGTTTCGGAAGCCATTTTTTTCTTTTTAGCTTCCTGACTCCCACATATTTTAGCCTGGGGAATTGGGAGGGGGGATTTTGTTGGAGTGGTGGAAACTTAGCCATAACAACATTCCTTACTCTGGGAGTCAAGGACATTTGCCTGCAGCTGGATGGGAGTGACTGGGGATTGTCTCCAGTTACATATGAAGAAGGGATTGGACCATGTGATGAACTTGTGGGTGTTGAGCAGGGTTGTGAATTTTCAACTGGGTGGGGAAAACCTGGAAGCTTCCAGATTCGGGTTTTCCCAGATGTGCCAACATGACATCTCTAATAAATTGGAATTTTGAGGAACTTCTTTGAGGAACCCTAACCCTAACCCTAACCCTTGGAGTTTTATTTCGTTGGGGGTGTTTTTTGGAACCTTGACACACACATCTCAAAATTGCTGAAGTTGAGAAATGCAGGTCAAGAGGGTACCTTAGTTAGAGAAGACTGATTATCCAACCAAGAAACAAGATTATGTATGTGATAGAATACATCAGATAAGCAGGCTCAAGTAAATACTCCTTTCCACAAAAGAGTGGAAAAGGATAGACGCATCAATGATTTGCTGGCACCAATTTGCCATACTTGGCCAAGAAACCATCTCATAATGGGGTTTCCATCCCTGAATGATTTATAAATCTCAATCTCCATGCAAAGAGCCTTTATTCTGTTTGCATTTGGTTTTGGTTTGAAACATTACAGGTAGTCCTCATCTTATGACTACAACTGAGACCAGGATTTCCATTGCTAAACAAAGTGGTTGTTAAGTGAATCACACCCGATTTTGCAAATATTTTTTGCAACAGTTGTTAAACTAAACACTGCAGCTGTCATGTGATCATTAAGTGAATCTGATTTCCCCCATTGACTATTCATTGGAAGTTGGCTGGGAAAGTCACAAATGGCTACCATCAGTGGTGGGTTTCAAAACTTTTTACTACTGGTTCTGTGGGTGTGGCTTGATGGGCGTGGCATGGCTTGGTGGGCGTGGCTTGGTGGGCATGGCAGGGGAAGGTTACTGTAAAATCTCTATTCCCACCTCACTCCAGGGGAAGGATACTGTAAAATCTCCATTCCCTGCCCGATCCAGGGGAAGGTTATTGCAAAATTCCAATTTCCTCCCAATCAACTGGGACTTGGGAGGCAGAGAATACATGGGGGCGGGGCAGTCAGAATTTTTACTACCGGTTCTCCGAACTAAATTTCCGCTACCGGTTCTCCAGAACTGGTCAGAACCTGCTGAAACCCACCTCTGGCTACCATGTGAACCTGGGACACTGTAAATACATGCTGGAATTTCACTCACGTGACCTCGGGATGGTGTGGCAGTAATAAATATGAGGACCAGCCTAAATCAGGGTTTTTCAAATTTTGATGGACCTTTGAACAGTTGAAAAATGAATTATTGTAAATTGAGAACTATCTGTATAGTATGTGCTACTGCTATCCGGAACGATGAAGGTAAAAAAGTGACACTACAATCCAAACTTCTTCAAACATTTCAAGTTCTACTTTTGATTCCAAAAGTATCACATCACAGTTTAGATATTGGGGAGGAAAGAAAAAAACACACAAAGAGGGCCTTGAAGTTAGTGGATTTTTTTTTAAAAAAACGTCAATCGTGTTCTATTTTAAAAAGATAAAAGGAAATGTTAGATTACCTGTGGGATATCTTCCGTAGCATGTCTCTCGCAAAGGTGGAAGTTGTCTTTCCAGAACTGGAGTTCTCCCTGATGAGGAAACAAATGAGCTTGGCAAGGTCTGGAAGGAATAAACAGTCACACTATTAGGCTGTTTCGATTCTCTTTCTTCGCATGGCATTGGTGTCACTTTGGTGACCTTCCTATGGGTCTTGGATGAATTCAAGCCCATGTTTTGGAGTTCAGATGAGCTGCTTTCCACCACAAGAGAAAGAAGGAAGGAAGAGGAAGCCCAGTCTTGGAGTTATTAAACATAGAAAGGGATAGAGAACCTCATTCCCAGCCTCAAAAATAATATAGTGCAGTCCTCATAATGGGGTAGCACTGGGAAAGACCACCCTCAAAGCTGGAGAACATTTTGTTATGCAGGCATCAGTTCTCAAGGGCTTTGCTTTAAATCAGGAGAAACATAAAACACAAAATGAAGTTCAAGATATTTCCTTCGGAAGACAGACGCATAGAAGAGGAGAAACCAGCTTTGGTATTTTGTCTTGTTGATTTCTCTAGTAGCTTCTTGAGATGAATCTGGATTCCCAACGTATCCTAATATAGTTCTTCAAGGGCATTTTTCTTGCAGAATATCCCCATATGCGTATGTGCGCATGTGCCAAAACACACATTTATCAAGAGCCAAAGGCCATGTGTTGCTATGGAAACTCCTTTATAAACTCTTCCCATTACCACACTTGGTGAGTCCAGTTAAACATTGACCTGGTCTGGGAGCTTCCTCAAAGGAAAGAATGGATATCTGGCTTACTCAACCTGTATATTAAATTAGCCCCAAGCATTCTGGATTCCAGTGTAAAAAAAATTACAGAACAGGAATTTGAGAACATACCCTTCTTTCTATTCACCAAAGCATAGTTAATCCCAAACAGTCAGATACGGTGGTTGCTTCTAGCAAGCCTCTTCTACTTGGAATGCCATATTTGGTTTCCACGCTTTAAAAATGAGAAATCCAAATACTTTGTTTCCCCAAAAATAAGACCCTGTCTTATATTTTTTGAACCCTGAAATAAGTGCTTGGCCTTACTGCCATGCGCTCAAAAGCCCAATTGGGCTTATTATCAAGGGATGTCTTATTTTGGGGAAAACAGGGTAACATATACATTGTGTGCCTTGGGAACAGGCTTTCTTGGATAAGACTTTAGAAGTAAGGTCTTATTCAAAAGGAGAGTTGCTTTATAGATGCTCTGGTGTGGTGTTTCTTTTTTTTTTAATTTGATTTATATACCGCCCTTCTCCGGAGACTCAGGGCAGCTTACAATGCGTTAAGCAATAGCCTTCATACTTTTGTATATTTATACAAAGTCAGCTTATTGCCCCCACAAACTGGGTCCTCAATTTACCTACCTTAGAAAAGATGGAAGGCTGAGTCAACCTTGAGCCTGGGGAGATTTGAACTTGCAGTAATTGCAGGCAGCTGAATGTTAATAACAGGCTATTAGTCTGCTGCACCACCAGGCTCCTGGTTTCTCAACCCTTAGCAACTTTAAAATGTATGGATGTTAAATCCTGGAATTCATTTCCAGTTACATCTTCTAAAGCTGGCTGAGGAGTTCTGGGAGCTGAAATTGACACATCTTAAAGTTGCCAAGGTTGAAAAACATTAGTGATTAAAATTTGGGACTTTCAAGGGTTTTGTTTCGGTTTCTGATAGCTAACACAAAAATGTCAAGGTCTTACGTGCTATCTTGACTATATTTATTTATTATCAAATTTTAAAACCACCCATGTCCCTCACTTCTTTCTACATTGCTAGACCTCTTCCTCTTGATGGTCTGTTTCAGTTGTCAGCCCTGGATCTTTATACTGCTTGACGGTTCACTTCTCCCTTGACTTCTGGAGTGACCTCTGATCATGCTTACAATGAATTGGGAATATGTGGCTCTTGATCTAATTTACAGTTTCAATAGAAGAGAATATCTGTAGCTCAAGATTGAACAGTGAAGTTCCTGGTGTTCTCTGAGTTTGGTTGTTTATTTGCAGATGTTTCATTACATAATTAGATAACATCATCCGTGCTGGGGAAGGTGGGGTTTGCTCCAGTGGTGAAATGCAATTTTTTTTACTACCGGTTCTGTGGGCGTGGCTTGGTGGGCATGGTGTGGCTTGGTGGGCATGGCAGGGGAAGTATACTGCAAAATCCCCATTCCCTCTCCACTCCTGGGGTAAGGATATTGCAAAATCTCCATTCCCATCCCTCTCTGGGGCCAGCCAGAAGTGCTATTTGCCGGTTCTCAGAACTATTCAAAATTTCCGTTACTGGTTCTCCAGAACCTGTCAGAACCTGCTGGATTTCACCCCTGGTTTGCTCCCTCTTTATATAGCTTATATAGCTTGACTGTTTCTGCTGCATTGTAATCTCAGCACTCTTGAAGCAGAAAAGTTGCATCCACTGCATCGCCATTTCAGCCACTCAGGAACTCTGGCAGGTAGGTCACGGCACTGATTGCCACCTTAACAGAGATGTCTTTGGCAACTAGAGCTGTAATCCCTGTGGTACATGATACTAATAGCACTCATTACTGAGCTCAAAATGGCGTGATTTGGTAACTTTTTGCTCTGGGTTCTGGTATGCGGATTCTTTTGACTTCTGCTGAAATTGCCAAATCCTATGAGCTAGAAACCTGCCTGGGACGATGCATTCCAGCTGAAGAACATTTGAAGCGCCTTGCTGTTTCAAGCCAAAGTCCACTAGTTCTGTGTCTTGTGCCAGCTTTCCAGCAGGTATTAAATGATCTGCAAAGTTTGCCAAGCCTCATAGAGTCCTGCTGTTCTTACTTTGTTCCCAAAACATGAAAAATCACACGGCTGAAAATCATTGGTTGCCACTGAATTTAACTGGCATAATCTGGGTTTGTTTTGGGGGCTGCAAAAATAGAATTGTGGAGCCTATGTGATCCCAAAGTTACTCAACCTATATGTTGGCTAAAATTAAATTGAAAAAGCCCTTTAATATTTCCACGTGTATAATCTTTCAAAAATGTGGGCCAGAATACATCATTTTTTGCTTTTTCCAGGGGCTAAATGAAAAATAAAATTGGTAGTACGTCCCAAAGTGTTACATTAGATTGGGACCAGGTATCCTTTTTCAGTTGGGGACATCTTTTGAATTATGAGCAAATGTGATGGGTCCATTCAGAAAGAACCTGCCTTGAGGGACTGATTCTTTACAAAGCACCTATTTACTGGATATGAATGAACTCCAAATCTCTATTAACCCAGAGAATCTTTGTGAAGTCTGTGGCATTCCTAAAGAATAGGAGATACTAATGTCTGATGCACAGTTTTACATATGCCAGTTTTCTCTTTAAGTTCTTTTTTATTCTTAAGGAATCATAGAATCATAGTCATGGAAGGATTTCCCATTCCCCACTATCCTGTCAGAGCTGAAAAAGCTTCTTGGATGAGAAGCGAAACGTCTTCAAAGAAAAAAACAAGAAAGTCCAGTTGCCTCCTGAAAAAGCACCTTTGGGACAACAATGACCTGGATGACTGAGAGAATCTCTACAGACTCATAGAATCATAGGGCTGGAATGGACCTTGGGGGTCTTCTAGTCCAAATCCCCCTGCCTAAAATAGGACTGCTTATACCAGGGTTGGGCAATTGTGGCTCTTTTACAACCTGTGGACTTCCACTCCCAGAATTCCTGAGACAGCCTTGGCTGTCTCAGGAATTCTGGGAGTGAAGTCCACAGGTTGTAAAAGAGCCACAATTGCCCAACCCTGGCTTATACTATCCCAGACAAATGGTTGTTCAATCTTTTCTTGAAAACCTCCAGGGACCTTTTCCATTGACTAATTGTTCTCCCTGTCAGGAAATTCTTTCTTATTTCCAGTTTGAGTTTCTCTCTGAAGAGCTTCCACCGTTGCTTCTTGTTCTGCCCTCAGGTGCTATGCAGAGTAAATTGACACCCTCTTTCTCTGCAACTGTTTCCCCAGAGCAGAGGTCGGCAACCTTAAACACTCAAAGAGCCATTTGGACCCGTTTCCCACAGAAAAGAAAACACCGGGAGGCACAAAATCCTTTTAACATCTAAAATGAAGATAACACTGCATATATTGTTTTTTTTTATCTTTATGCTACGTATAAAAAAACCTATAATGTGTTGCATTTATGACATCAATGAACTGCTACAGAGAACACAAATTTTTATTTCTGCACGCAAGAAAAACATTTTGAACTCCAAAAAAAAAGATGGGTCGAAAAGCTCAATAAAGCTTGCATGCTGGCGGATGTCGCATATTGGCAGTTGTGGCGCATATTTTGAGTGACAGGGAACTGGGTCAGAGAGATGAAAGAGCCACATGCAGCTCCAGAGCTGCAGGTTGCAGACCCCTGCCCCAGAGCCTTCTCTTCATTAGGATAAACATACATTGCAGTGGGCAGGGTGGGAGGGGGGAGAGTAACATAAGTAACTCTAGCCGAAAACACTCCCAGCCCCCTTACTCACCTCCCCCCTCAGCTGCTTACCTAGTTCTCTTAGCCATTCATTGTACAATTTAGCCTCCAGACCCCTTATTATTTTTGTCACCCTTCTCTGCACTCTTTCTAGGGCTTTAGCATCTTTTTTTTTATTGTGTTGACCAGAACTAGATGCAGTGTTCAGATGTGGCTTCACTAGCACAGTATAGGGGGGTTCTGTCACTTCCATAGAGCGGCACTATCGCTTTGAGAGATAAAAGCAGTGGTGGGATTCAGCCAGTTCACACCACTTCGGGAGAACCGGCTGTTAACTTTCTGAGCAGTTTGGCAAACTGGTTGTTGGAAGAAATCATTAGGGCAGAGAACCGGTTGTTAAATTACTTGAATCCCACCACTGGATAAAAGGTTAAATCTTTTCAAGAGTCAGATTGCACAGGGAGTTTGGTGGGCACCAGTGGTGGTATTTAAGCAGTTGCCGCATGCGCAAGCAAAGCATATGTGCAGAAGGTCCCACTCACACTCACATTTTTGGTGTGCAGCGAACCAGTGGTAAAATTATGTGGAACCCTCCTCTAGGGGCACCAAGGGCATTACATTAGAGAGGCCTTGCCTATGAACTAGATGGACCAATGATCAGTTCGGGTCTCGGGATGCTTCCTCTGTTCCATTGGCCCCTGTCCCCATCATAACCCAACACTGCTTAGGGGGGCCAAAAAAGCCCTACTAAGCAGGTATATACAAAAGTATGAAGGCTATTGCTTAACACATTGTAAGCCACCCTGAGTCTCCGGAGTCTCCGGAGAAGGGCGGCATATAAATTGAACCAATAAATAAATAAATCAAACCAATAAATAAATCTGCATGGGATGGATTGTTTCTCTGGCATTTTTGCCCCATAGTTCGGGTGCTGATGGTTAGGGAGGGCCCAGCGGGATAGCTTTAGTCCTTCTGCAAAGAGGAAAAATGAACTGCATCACTCCGACTGACTTTCCGCAATATAGGTTACTCACCCACATAAAAACTCTCTTCACGCTTCATCGACTTCATAGTTATACTGCAAAGCAGTGACTGTGTGGATAACTCTCCTTTCCTGATTGAATGGAGATTATTGCTGGGGAGTGGGGGCAA